TCTGGCAGCGCAAACGTTGCCCAGCTGGGCGTACGACAGTGCAGACCAGCTTCCAGCAGCACTACCATCTCCGCGTGCACCATTTCAACTGTACATATACCCTACTCAACTTACGACCAAATCGTGTTACAACCGGTCCGCGGTCCCAACCGTGGTCGTAAGTCGAGCACTAGCTCGACTACAGGCATGCACTACAGGCATGCACTGCCATGCCCAGCTAATTTTTATATTTTTAGTAGAGACGGGGTTTCACCATGTTGGCCAGGCTGGTCTCAAACTCCTGACCTCAAGTAATCTGCCTGCCTTGGCCTCTCAAAGTGCTGGGATTATAGGCGTGAGTGACCATGCCCAGCCGAAAAATAAATATTTTTTTAATTATCCAGGCATGGTGGCATGTGCCTATAGTCCCAGCAATTTGGAAGGCTGAGGCAGAAGGATTACATGAGCCAAGGAGTTTTAGGTTACAATAAGATATGATAATACCACTACACTCCAGCCTAGGAAACAAAGTGAGGAAAAAGAAGGAAAAGAGTCAGATATACAATGTTAACAGCAGTAAGAAAACAGGATACAATGGTCAGATCATGTAGAGCCTTGTAGGACACTCCGAGAACTTCGTTAGCTCTACATGAACTGTCTTATATTTTTACATGATCATAATGACTGCTGTACTAAGAGCAGACTATCTGGGGGATAGATGCAGGAAGACAAGGGAGAAGGTGATTCCATAATCAACGTGAAAAATGACGGTGGCTCCATCAAACCAAGGAATTGGTAGTGAAGGAGGTGAGAAGTGGTCATATTCTACAAATACTCTGAAGGGAGAGCCAATAGGAAGAAAAAGAAGAAAATCAGAATCTCATGTCCCAAAGATAACTACTGCTAATATTATTTATTCTTTTTTTTTTAGATGGAGTCTTGCTCTGTCACCCAGGCTGGAGTGCAGCGGTGCGATCTCAGCTCACTGCAAACTCTATCTCCCGGGTTCAAGTAATTCTTTGGCCTCAGCCTCCCAAGTAGCTGAGACTACAGGCACACACCACCATGCCTTATTTTTGTATTTTGAGTAGAGACGGGGTTTCACCATTTTGGCCAGGCTGGTCTCGAACTCTTGACCTCATGATCCGCCTACCTCGGCCTCCCAAAATGCTGGGATTACAGGCATAAACCACCATGCCAGGTATAATATTATTTATTCTTTTGGATCTACTATTAATGAGCTAGTATGATAAAAAAAAAAAAAGAAAAGAAAATAATATTTATTCTAACCAAATATGGTCTACTCTAAACAGTCACAAAGAAGCCAGGCATATGCATGAATTATAGCTCATGCTAAAATTCCAGCACTTTCGGAGGATGAGATAGATGGATTGCTTGAGCTCAGGAGTTCAAGACAAGCCTGGGCAACATGGCAAAACCCTCCGTGTCTACCCTAAAAAAAAATACAAAAAAAAAAAAAAATTAGCCGGGCACGGTGGCTCACGCCTGTAATCCTAGCACTTTGGGAGGCTGGGGTGGGTGGATCACCTGAGGTCAGGAGTTCAAGGCCAGCCTGGCCATCATGGTGAAATCCCATCTTTATTTAAAAAAAAAAAAAAAAAAAAAAAAAATTAGCCACGGATGGTGGACTATATATCTATAGTCCCCACTACTTGGGATGCTGAAGTGGGCGGATTGCTTGAGGCCATGAGTTTGAGACCAGCCTGACCAACATAGCAAAATCCCATTTCTACAAAAAATAAAAACAATAAAAAGCCAGGTGCAATGGCTCATGCCTATAATCTCTGCTCTAAGGAAGCCATGGTGGGCAGATCGCTTGAGTTGGAGATGGAGATCACCTTGGAGTTGGAGATCAGCCTAGGTAACATGGCAAGACCTCATCTCTACATAAACATAAAAATTAGCCAGGAGTAGTAGTGTATACCTGTAGTCCCAGATACTTTCGAGGCTGAGGTGAGATCACCTGAGCCTGGGAGGCTGAGGTTGCAGAGCTGAGATCATGCCACTGAACTCCAGCCTGGGTGACAGAGTAAGACCTTGTCTGAAAATAAAAATAAAAATAGGCCAGGCATGGTGCCTCACGCCTGTAATCCCAGCATTTTGGGAGGCTAAGGTGGGCAGATTGCTTGAGCTCAGGAGCTCGAGACCAGCCTGGGCAACATGGTGAAACCAAATCTCTACAAAAAACACAAAAATCGGGCCAGGCATAGTGGCTCATGCCTATAATCCCAGCACTCTGGGAGGCCGAGGTAGGTGTATCACCTGAGGTCAGGCGTTCAACCAGCTTGGCCTATATGGTGAAACCCCATCTCTACTGAAAATATAAAAATTAGCCAGGCGTGGTGGCACATACTTATCAAGAGAATCAGTTGAACCCAGGAGACAGAGGTTACAGTGAGCCGAGATCACGCCACTGTACTCCAGCCTGAGCAACAGAGCAAGAGTCTATCTAAAAATAAATAAATAAATACAAAAATTAGCCAGGCATGGTGGCATGTACCTGTAGTCCCAGCTACTTGGGAGGATGAAGTGGGAAGATTGCTTGGTCCTGGGAGGTTGAGGCTTCGGTGAGCCATGATCATGCCACTACACTCCAGCCTGGGTGACAAAGCAAGACCCTGTCTCAAAAAAAAATTTTTTTTTAATTTTAAGGAAAAACAATTTTTAAAAATAATCTCTGATCCAAGGCCCAAAGGAAGAGAAAGTGTTAATCAGTCCAATAAGTGGAGAGAAAATCTTTCCCGGCAGGGCACAGTGGCTCACG